AGCCTCCATTGGTTATAACCAGTGTTTTACGGTACTACAACTGTTTTTCACTGTAATGCTTATCGGAACTTCTCCCAATGGACACAACTAAACACACCTATTCTGATCGCCTCAACCTTTTCAAAAGCATCCCCACCAATCCTTTTCGCTTGCAAGTCAAAATTTTGCTGGGACAGTGGCTTACTATTTTAAGGTTGTGCTAAACTTAACCGACTACATCTAAAATAAAACCTACCCTGCCGGAGCAACACGCCTTGACGCGGGTATTTCAACCGATCAAAAAAGTCATTTTTGTACCGGAATGAATATGATCTTCAAACAACAGTATGTTGAAAAGGCCAGCACCAGCGTTTCTCAAAAATTTCGTCATGCGAGAAATATTTGAAAAATTATCTTGAATTGATCACAATTGATAGTCGTCTTTTGTTCTCTGACCTGTCCTTTATCTGTTGATCGAATGTTCTGCTTTTGTTTTACTCACTGTTCTCTAGCCGTATTACGAGCCTTTCCGGAATTATCGATCTGAATTACTCCGCCAATCGCCTGTTACTTAAGACAAAAATCGAACCATTTGGGCTTTAGGGAGATTCGCTCTTGTTTTCGGCAAACTGGTTTTTAATCGGGATTTATATACATATATATACCACAGGTTGCTAGAAAACGATAACCAGGGCGACCATGGCTCACCTTGCCGATCCCGGGCACCAACCAGACAGCGATGCATTCGGAAATCTCTTTTAGTGATATTTCGCTTCTTTTTTTAATCACTATGTGCCTGAGCAGAAGATAACGTGTGACTAGCTACGGGAATTAATTCAACTCCCCTCCCAAAGAGTTCCTATCTCTACGAAGTGGCCTGGAGATGATCATTATCAATGGAAAACTCAAACTTCAGAAATTGCCTGACTCAGTGTGATGAATTGTCACTGCGCTAATCATCTACAGGATGGATGATTTTTGGTTTCTCAAACTCAAACCCACACGATCACAATAAGCCCTCTTGTGCTAGTGGAATAAACATTTTTGACACCTACCCTACCCTAGTGGCACTCCAGCAAATTCAATGACTATCCCTGCCATGTTTTCTTGCGATCGTGTAAATGTGCACAGTGTGATCTTTCTCAGTAAGTATTATTTAACAGGTATCGAAATGCTCTCGGATATCACAGATGTAATAATATTGAGTTACTATTTTACAACAGTGCTTATTCACTTCAATGAAAAGACAATATTTTGGCAAGCGAAATCCTAAAAGCTTCTCTCCTGTGTGAATAAAACTATTCCTGACCCAATTTGACTTGACTTTCGAGTAGGTCTATAGTAAACTGCTAGGGACCATCCATGTTCTTCATAGAACAATTTAACCAGGGAGGTGGTGGTCAGTCAATAGATAATCATCCCTGAAGACGTTTGTTCAAATATGGTATGATCGTCCGACTTTCTCCATTTTCTATAGGTTGTATGGTATCCCTTTAATCGACCACTTCCTCTTCCCGAAAAAAATTATCATTGTATGTTCAGTAAAAGGGGAAACATTAAAAAGAGATGAAATGCATGAATTCCTGGTAAAAAATTCCAACCTACAAAAAGCACAAATCTATGTAATACTGAGACACGGCACCTAATTGCACTAATCACGATTTGTGAGCTCTCAATCGATTCGGGTAAGTCACGTGCATAACTGATGAAATCAAGCCATAATTCATGTTCAGCCAACTGGTTAGTTTCGGCACGTGATCCATCTCTTATTTGTCGATGTAAAAAGCTTGCACCCTACATTCTGAGATATTCCTGAAGTGCATCATGAACTACAACGCGTTCAACCCTCTCCCTCCAGTTGATTAAGGAAATGAAACCCGATTGTATTTGCCGATGTACTTTATGGTGCAAAACAAAATGGTTAGTTGGATTAATCAGTAGTGTGGGTCGAGTCACCAGTCACAGTGGGGATATGAACTGTGCTTCCTTGACTGATGCCATCATAAATGAATTGGCGCTCTACCGTTCTTTTGATAGGACTATAACTAGGGTATTCAACAACTCATTCTGATACCTAAGCTATTTTTTTAGGCTACAGGTGCTCATATCACTGTGGTATCATCAATTCTGTTAGTTTGTACTTTCCTGCCGTTAAACAAAATTAATTTCTCCTACCCTGGGTGCCGTACATCAACATGCCAAGCATTATCAAAACGGTAGCAATTTGTTCTTATTCAATCCCCTCCTATGTTTCCAACTCAAAAATAAATTAGTTCTATTCAGTCTCTTTTATAGGTGCGAGTTTACTTGTTCCCAATAGACGATGTATGTTGGCCTCACCTAAATTTATCTCCATAATTCATTGAGCACAACCCGGCTTGAGTGAACAATGGAGTGTTCAGACCCACCAATAGGGTGAGCATTTGTCAACTGGTGAAGTTGGGCTGAGGAATTTCGATCCATCGTTTTGGTTCTCATTCATCGACCTCATAAAATTGGGAAGCATATGGCTAGCGCAACCGTAAATCACCAAGTGTGTCTCCGCATCGAGGATAGGAGGATGGTCGCCCCAAGGGTTTATTAATAGTAGGTGGGCTTTCGGATTTTGAAAAAACGTCTCCGATGAACAGCGGGTAGGCCTGGTTACGTGACGGGATTTTTGCCTGACCAGCAATCGACCCCCAACAAAAAGGTCCCAAATGACTTGTGCGAGTCTGGTTCATCACTAAGTAAGGCTAATGCCAACACCGCGTTTCGTCACAGAATGCATTTGGCTGCGTAAGGGATAGATTTACAATCGAAGGCCAAATTGTACAGGATCGGTCACTTTATACCGCATTCCCAATATTCTTTACTGAGCCATCCACGAAAACGACTTATCCTTACCTAGAACAAAGCCACCAAAAAGGAAGTAATTAAGCCTATTTAAGGGGGAGTTGGAGTGACATTTTGGTCACAGCGGATGTCATCGGAATCCACCCGCATCTTGTTAATCTACCAAACACCCATAATAACACAGGTGATTTCACCACCACCATCACATTTGACAAAATAATCCGCCTTTCTCCCTCATGATTAATATCAACGCCAACCTTTGTTGATCAAATTCTATGCAATACCCGGTTAAAGAACTGACATTTTTCCGCTTTAACTCACTCTCTCTTCTATCAACCTTTCTAATATGAATTGGGAGGAGTGGAAAAACAACTATTTGATTGTGGTGAATAAGATTTCCGCCTTCATGATAAAATATTTTCCAATAATCTGTGATGTGATTTTAATCTTTTTCCCAAGACAATCTAGTTCCCAAGAAGTGATAAGTATATTTTGATGTATTGGCATGAATGCGAATCACTGAGAACGAGCTTGTTCAGCAATCTGTCGTTTCGTCTGAATTATCATTAATTAATCAATAGATAAATTAGCCTAAACTGAGCATATCCATTACATATGTTGTTCTCACACTGATTACCACTACCGGTATATTCGTCTGAATGTGACTTTATTCTCCATTAGCACTATTTTAATTTACTATAGCTTCATAACTCAGGTCTGATTCGAAACCCAATGTTATTGTTTTAACAATTTCTAAATTGAGCAATTCTAATTTTCTCCATTTTGTGCTGCCTCATTGCTAAATTATATCTCACTTGAAACAGTTTTTCATTCTCATTTTAAATCTACCTGTGCAAAATGTGTGGAACCCCAAAAAGTGATTTACCTGTGATATGTCTTATAACATAAACTATGGGCTAAATTCGGTGATCATCACTATTGTCTGTACCTCCAACACCACTGCCTAACCTACAAATAGCTTGGATCTTAGAACTTAGCAGATTTGATCCTAACCAAAGTAACCTTTCACCCGAGGCGAAACGACCATCAAGAAACTAATACATCACAAGAGAGCATTGTTACCGTAGTGGCTGTAGAAGCCAAAAGCTTCTGGTTATCCCAGGATCTGATAAAATAAGCTTTCCTTTTGATTTATTTGTAATTCACGAGAGCTCTTATTATTGCTGTTGCTTACCAGACCGTGCTCGATGAATGACCATGAACGTTCCTACTTTCGTTGTACAAAATGTCTGATGGAACCGGGGTATGGATAATAATGATAACATTTATAAAACACTTGAATTTGAAACATCCAGGAAATTACCATTCCATATGTGCTGTCTTCACGATCAATCGTCTCCTGCTAAAAAATAAGGAGGAAGGACCGTCTTGATACGGCCCAGTGAATCACCCTTTAAGTGCGCTTCTGATCATTGATTGCTGTTGAACATCAAACAGCGATATCCAGAGCGGAAGCTGGATCAACTATTCATCGGTAATGTAGCTGTCAGCTTGAAGATTCATCCACCTGATTGATCTGTTGAATCCACCGAAACCGCCTCGGAAGCAGATTATTACGCAATCATCCATTCCCCTTTCTGTTAGACTCTATTGTCTTTCTGCTTTGTGCGTTAGATATTTTACTCGATGCCTCAGTGTAAGTGTGCTCTCCCCAACTGCCTATTCTTGCTAGGATGATCAGTCATTTCGACAACCCACGACATTTTCAACAAGGTTACATCAAGTATTTCCAATCTCCTAGTTCAAGCCATTGAATGAATAAAGAGTGCTAATGTTGGTCTTTTGAATTGGCTACTCCATGACGAGCAGCTTTCCTTGGTTGTCATCAGAGTAAACTCAAGCCCATTTTCAATCAAAACAATCTATTCTATAGTGTGCAATTTATCTGGTTGATAACACTACAGCGATAGTTCCTATGCACCACAAGTTATACTATTATGCTATTCAAAGCAAAATTTCCATCTATTTAATGCTGTTTCAGTTACCTACCTCATGATGCATTTCCCAATAGTTACATGATCATTTTTTCTGCATTGATCAAGTATTCTGACTTCGCGGTTGACTACAGAAAAGTAATTCAGAATCAAGTTAATGAGGATAAATATCAATTAGGCAACCGATATAGCAATAAATAGAAGCATTCTTTAAGGGTTGATCATAAATTTCTATCGCTTTGGTCCTTGAAGAGGGACAGCCACTTGAGTTGGAGAGATACACGGAACGGTATGCGTATCCAGTTGTGCAATACCGGGTTTTCGAGTTGCGGACGGCGCATATTGAGCCCCTTCGCGTAGCACTCGATGTGGTACGACCAGAGTTTCCAAAGGAACAGTCAGACATTCCTCATAATTCGGTTGCGAATGCATCATCATTCGCGAGCGGCAGGATCGATGGGAAGTCGGACGGGGAAGTTCCGAGGTGGGGGTTGGTAAAGGTTCCGTGGTGAAATAATCGTGGAGCAAAGC